AAAAGTGGTGTGATCCTTTGCTGTTTGTGAGACGGATGGCCACCGCTTCTCTCGTTCTTCATACCCTCCTCTCCCCTAGCCTCAACGAATATTGGTATGAAAGTGAGAACCGATGAACAATCGATAACCCGTAACCACCACTTTTTCTCTGACTGGTTGAGTTTTTGGTCAGTGTCCTTCGTCTCCATGGCAATCTTTTAAGAGATGTTCAAAATTCAGTGCATTAATGAGAACGGAAACCGACAATTTCAGTGCATACTTTGCTTGCCAAAGGAACACCATATTGTCATCAGCAAGAACAACAAACTCTAACCTACGGAAACGCATCAAGGTAAGCTGGGACACCTGCATTCTGCATTGGCTATACGTTGTAGCGTCAGAACCAAGTTTTTCTTTTCTTGTGAGTAACAGGCGAGACACCCGAGTCAAACGGGAGCTTTCGTAGATCGCTTCTTCAGCTCCGAATCTCGTAGCGGAGGCAGACGCTGCTACTGAGCATGCGCACCGCTAGATTTGTCTGCACAATTTTAGGGATCATTTCCGGAGGCCGTAAGCTAGCGGGATGGCGGGTGTGGTTGCAGCTTTCGGTGCCTTGTCAGCATACAGGTGAACGGAGTGCACCTACAGCCCTTCTTTTAAATTCAATATTTTATTTTTACAAGGATTATACCATAATAGTGCGTATGAGAAATGAAAAGTAGTGTTGCAGAACATTTTCAAAAAATATCAAAATTATTTCTACTGTTTCCTGGATAAGTATTGTAATCCATTACATTTGAGGCTCGTAATTTGCAATTGTAATTCATTGCATTTTTCAAGTAACGAGTACAAGTATGCATGTGACCAATGAAAACGCGACATTTCGTTGAGATTGCTAACGCTGTTATTACAAAAGGTTATGCTTCTGTAGATGATTGAAGAAAGTAAGAGTAGTTGAAAAATAAGTTTTCGCGGAGGCGAAACATAATACTGTTACAACCGGTTCAAAAACCACACACTATGTTTGTTTCCATTTTTTTTTTTTTTTTTTTTGCGGGAGTGATGTATTTGGTTGTTAGCTGTTGTGGCAGTTGTGCCACAGAGACGACGAAGAGGTCGGCAAGTGCGAGCGCTGTGCTCGGGACACACGCGGCGGAACTTTTACGAGACAGCAACAGAACGGCTCGGCGGCGGCATCGGGCGATGCGAGCTACAGTCTCCTTTAGGGATGCCGCGAACTTTTTTCGAATCGAAGTTTCGATGATCGAATCAAGCGGTTGGAAAGGTTCGAAATATTTTGACTTTTCGAATTTTTTACATCGTAAAATTCGAAGGAAGTCGAATTTTCGAACTTGTTGAGCTAAGAAGTTCGACGCTTTTCGAACCGTCGAACTTATTACGCTAAGAAAATCGATCTTTTTCGAACTTTCGAACTTATTGCGCTGCAAAGTTCGATGCTTGTCGAACTTCCGAACTTGACTGACCAAAAAATTCGATGAATTTCGAACTTTCGAACTTATTTATCAAGAAAATCGAAAAGTGTCGAACTTTCGAATCCTGAAAAGTCAGAATTTCGACGAACTTCGAACTTTTAGGGTAAAAGTTCGACGCTCGTCGAAGTTCGAAAGACCAGCGGACGGTTTCATTTGAATTCAAGTAGTGAGGTACATTCGTAGTTTTTTTTTCCCTAACTTTTACACGCGGTGCTGCGTTCCTTACGAAAGACAATGCCGTTTGTTTCAATATTTTGGCATGCTTAGTTTTAAAAAAATAAATTTCTGAAGGGGCGAGGAAGGACGACGGGCTTTTAATGATTATCGTTTGTGCCAGATTTGAAGCGCGCTGTAGCCGAAGCTATTTCTGGTAGAGATGTTATACTTTTTTTAAGGATGATCTATGTATAGCCTAGGTAAGTGCCGTCTTAAGATGTGATTATTGTTATTCAACGTGAGTTTCGAAGAAATGTCCAAACATGTATCTACATGCAATTATGCCCTAAACTTGATATTTATTTTCGTCTAAGTTGTTTGAGGTATCGCATTTAAATTAACACCACAGACAGTACATATCATTGCCATCTGCAGAATACAAAATAATGTATTTATTGTTCTTTTTTTTCCCGTTAAGTAATAAATTAACTCATGGGAGAAGATTTCTAATACTGTTCAAGTTCAGCACGTCATGAAAATAAAACTTTTTTTTTTCGCTTCACGATCTTGGGACGTGTTTCTTTTAGCCTGTACACATTTTGGTAAAAGAAACTTGTTTCAAAGTTCTGAACTTCCGAATACGCAAGAATACAGCACTTTCGGCGAATTCTTGATAGTTTTTTTTTCCAGCTTTTTATTTCCGCATTTTTTTTACTATTGGCACAGGTATTTGATAATGATAATGATAATAATGTTTATTTTCCACCATAAGATGGTGGCGATCAGGGAAAAAATCTGTCAGGTACAGCTTGACGGGTCCCTGACCGCCTACAGAAAGCAGCAACAGACCCGGAAAAAACGATATTCAAGAGGAGAAAAGAAAAAAAAATTGTACAATGATTGTCGCTATCACACATTTTAAAACAAATTTTAGATTTCTTTTCCCATTTTTTACATTGAGGCAGGACAGACAGCAGGGATAAAATTATGCAAAAACTAGTTACAAAGATCACAAAGAAAGAAGGGCAACTACCTTCAGCTGCTAGAGAAAAAAGATGATTTTACTTCTCTGAGGGATAACTTATCCCAATCTATACTTTTAGTCTTATACGAATTGAGTAAATTGGGGAGAGTGTATTTAAGCATTTGTTTGCCATAGTTTGTTCTTGGTGTAGCCACCTCCCAACATTCAGCACCTCGGGTAGGGTAATTATGAACATTTTTTGATAAATTTCCAAGATCTGTTAAAAAAGTTGAGTCTTTAAGTTGCTCTACTTTAAGGCTAGTGCTAAGCCTGTAATCATATAATGCATGCGCGTTTAATACGCGAAATTTTTGAAATAAGCCAGCTGTGTGAAAATCATACGAGACGGCAGCTATAGCCCACAGTGCTTTTTTTTTAAATACATGTAACTTTTCTAGGTTTGTTAAAGTTGTTGTTCCCCAAACTAAATGGCAATAATTTAAGTGAGAATAAAATAGAGAATTATATATTAATAATTTAACGCTTGTTGGTAAAATATAACGATGTCGATTTAACATGCCCACAGTTTGGGATAGCTTTGAAATAAGAGAGTTTATATGACTTTCCCACGACATATTTTCAGAAAACATGACACCTAAGAGTTTAAAACAATTCACAATCTCGATTTTGCTTGAATTCAAAACTATCTCCTTGGTAATGGTAACGATCGAGTTTATTTTTAGGACGAAAAAAGCACGGCTTTGGTTTTATTTACATTTATTTGTAATGCGTTGTAATGACTCCACGTTTGTAACCTAGACAGGGCCAGATTCGCCATATCGAATAATAGGTCAGGATCATCTGCAGAAAACAGTATGCTCGTGTCATCAGCATAGTTTACAAATTTTGCGCTTACATTAATATTGACTATATCATTCACGTACATGTTAAAGAGGAAGGGGCCCAATATACTACCCTGTGGTACACCAGAAGGAATAGGTTTTATAGTGGAAGAATTCCCATTGATATAAACATATTGTGCTCGATGCTTCAGATAAGATCTTATCAGCTGTAAAGCGTGCCCTCGAATTCCATAATTATCTAATTTAGATAGTAAAATTTTATGATTGAGGCAGTCAAACGCCTCGGTGAAATCTATAAAGACTCCAAGAACCATATTTTTGTTTTCAAAGCTTTGTATAATAAATTCTTTTAAAACAAGTAAGGCAGATTCTGTCGACTTGTGTTTTATAAATCCATACTGTGATGGAGTTATCAAGTTATACTTATTTGAAAATTTAGTCAAACGTGTATGAATAATCTTTTCGAGCGCCTTGGAAAACACTGGTAATATTGAAATCGGCCTGTAGTTTCCCATTTCATTTACATTTCCTTTTTTATGCAATACTCAAACTTTGGCAATCTGCATTCGCTTAGGAAAAATTCCAGTAGATAAAGAGATATTAAATATATGAGTTATTACAGGTGCTAACAGATGAATAACATGTTTTACCGGTCTTATCTGGATGCCATCGACGTCACAACTAGAACTATTTTTAAGCTGAAGAAACACGCTTATAGTTTCTGGTTTGACGACGGGATCTAAAAATATCGAATCACTGTTTCGTTTATCATTTAAAACCAAAGGAGTTTCGGTTTCAGTAGAACCCAGAATATTTACAAAATGTTCGTTAAAAGCATTTGCCAGTGAACATCCAGTAAGTTTAGTACCATTGCACAGAATTTTTTTCAATTGAACTGAAGGGGCGATTACGATAAAGAAGATAATTTAGTTGCTTCCACATGATGTCAGTGAGTCCTTGTGTGGCCTTGAACAAATCATAATGATTACGCGTTCTGCCACGCTTTAGTTCTTTTGTCAGGTTGTTGCGATAGTTTTTAAATACTTTATGGTCCTTCTGGTCCTTGGATTTTATGAATTTACCATATAAAGCGTTTTTTATCTTAATTTTACAGAGTAAATCTCTCGTTATCCAAGGCTTCTTTATGCGCTTGTTTGTTTTAATAGAAGTGAAAGGAAAATATGTCTTATACAGTCCAAGAAATAACTCTATAAAAGTGTTATAAGCCCCGTCAGCACTATCCTCACACAGTACCCGGCTCCAATTTGTATTTGAAACAGCGGTCTGAAAAGCGTTGAGTCGATCTAAAGTTATTTTTTGTACTAATGTCCGCTCTGTCCTACAATTTTTTTTCGGGAAACCTTTGAGAGAAATGAATATTGGGAGGTGGTCCCTCAGATCGCAAGCAATGACGCCAGCTTTTATATAATCGACTGAGCTGTTTGAAATAAACAAATCAATTAATGTTTCAGATTGGAGAGTAACACGTGTAGGTCTATTAATAACATTTGCACAACCATATGTCCTGATTAGCGAATCTAAACTTTTTTTAGCTACGGTTTCCGCGCTCATATCAATATTAAAGTCGCCACCACAAATTACATTACATTTTTCTTCATTAACAAAAACCAAAAAAGACTCAAAAAATTTTAAAAACGATTCAATGTTGCCGTTTGGTGGCCGGTACACCACAGCAAAGATATTCTGGTTATTGCGTATACACATCATTTCGTAATCTTGAGTGATGCAACTATAATCACCTATTACTTCACCAGAAACACTTTTTGTCAAAATGGCTAAGCCACCACCACGTTTCTCTTTACGATTTATGTAAAAAGAGCGGTATGTAGGGAGTTGTAGTACGTCAGTCTCTTCAGTGTACCAGGTTTCTGTAAGCATGATGACATCGAAAGAAAAACCAAATTGATCGAAAAGTAGCTCAAGATCTACAGCTTCGCTTTTCGCAGACCGAACATTTAAATGAAAACAGGTCATGTGTGAAATATAATCCGCACCAAGATAGGTTATCAAGTCTTGCGGAAGAACGAACGCGTCAATTGCCATAAAAAAATAAAAAGAACAGAGGATATTATCATTGACCGCCCTAAGATAGAAATTCGCGTATCAGATCCTGCAAAAATGCCAGTCTTTATCATCGTTAAAGTGACTTTTGAAGATAACGCCGTCGCAATAGCCGTACCCAGATTGTTTTTCTGCCACGCGGCAAGTAAACTTTCGGGTTTCATTTTGCAAGAACTAATAAAACAAAGATGTTTAGCGCTGGTAGTTCCTATTTAATTTTTTCAAGATCGCCTTCTTGCTCAATCCGAATTGTCGGTGCGCCTTCTTGTTTCCTCACGTATGAACAACCTTCCTTGTGCCAAATAAACTTGTAGCTGAGGTGCTTCGCCTTTGTTCTAACATCGGAGAACAACTTCCGGTTCGACGCCGTCATGTTCTCTTGCAGGTACACGTTGCCATCATCGGCTTCCGACCTTAACTTTTGCTTGTTTTGAAGCCATGCATTTCGCTCATTTCTGTTCACAAAGCGCACAATCACCATAGGCGTCTTCTTTGTCCTAGTTGGAACGCGGTGCATTGCCTCTACGCTATCTTTCGTTAGGGGCGGAACTTCTATCTGATCCGCGATTTTGTTAAGCTTTTCGAGCAAATTTTCATTGATAGTTTCTACAAGACCGTTCACTTCAAGATTATTCCTTCGCCCGTATTGTTCCAATTTGTTTAGTTCTTTTTTTAGTTGGGTAGTTTCGTCCGTTTTCCGTTCTTGTTCTAGTTGATTCACCTTTTTCCTCAGTTCTTTTATTTCGCTGTCATGCTCTTTCATTTTTCATAAGACTTCATCGTAGTTGTCGGACATTGCTTGCACCGATTTCTCAATGTCCATCACAGTTTGTTTCATGCCCACCAGCTCATCCACTTGTTGCTTTAGTGGCGCGAGTATTGTTAACATGCCCATTATTATACGGGTCAGTTGCTGTTGAACATCTGGCGATTCATCTTTTGACTGTCCATCTTCCAGAGCGCTGCGAGTTCTTGCTCTAGCACTCAGACACGTTTGGCATTTCCAAGTCTCTTTAAACCCTGGCTTTTTTCCCCGGAGGGACTTCTCGGTTACGCCTGCACAGGTACCAATATGGTAGCGAAAGCGACATTCGCTACACTCCAAAACACCGTCATCATCGTCGATTTGCCCCTTACAACGGAAGCAGAAATCATCATCGTCTTTGTGTTTAGCCATCTCAGTAACACTTTTTGGAAAGTAGTCAGCGACAGGGATTTTAAGACACAAGTTGAAAAAAAAGGGGTACTTTTCCTACCTGCAGAATCAGATGATTATCGTCTTGCCAGAGAGCCCTGTCGCTGACTGCTATCCGTCATTCCTGCGCAGCTCCTTTTGTAGCTTCTAGTGGCTTGGTGTCGCTTCAGCCGCTGCTGTCGCTTGCCCCGAAGTCCGTTGCTTGCGCCCGTTGACTTGCCCTTTTTGACTAGGTCAAAAAGACATAGCTTTGAACTTCCGAACCACTAAGCATGTGACGAGTAGTGCCCTGACAACGCGTTTCTAACAATGACCATCTACGCAATCTTTTATGCAGTGAAGAGCGACAGTAGCTATACATATGCATAAATAATTTCAGTTTAAAATAAGCTCGACCACGCCCTCTTTCCCCGTATTGTTTTCTTTAACAGTCTGAAATACCTCGAAGGGGAAAAGGGAACTAAAGCCCCCCCCCCCCCCCCCCCCCCCCCCGCTATACCCTCTTACCCCCCGTTTTTCCTCTTCCGACGCCACTTGTATGGTAGAACGCTTCTCGACCTCGAGTTGTGTCGGCTTTTTGCGAGGCGATTCCTCCGTCCCAGAAGATAAACCTCCAGGACAATTACAAACTTAACTTACGATATGCCAGCGTCACTCGGGCGGCGCTCGATCGGATTGCTATCAGCGTGCAAGGGGTGGCGAGGTAGTTTGCCAGGTCGCTTCAAGTTTTTTCTGAGCCTCAACCTCCTGCTCATCCCTGGCCGTTTCGAACTGGATGAGTCTTGTAAAACAGTGTGTTCGTGTGATCACTACTGCGTGATGCAGGTTAAACCCCCCCCCCCCCCCCCCCACCCCGGGCTGGCGGTCACAATTACTGATCCATGGTCACACGTCACTCTGCACTGGCAAATATTCCAGCACAACCGGGACACTCTTCGTCTCATTTAATTGCCTGACCAACTTGGCAGAATCTAGATGTCACACCCTAACTTCTCTAAACTTGATTTTGTGAAAACCAGTGAGTCGTGAAAACGTTATTTGAAACAAACTGTGGAGGGACTTGAAAACCGGACTTCGAACTTTGAAAACTTGGACTAGAAAAAAATTCAAAATCTTCGAAGTTTTTTTTTTTCGAATTTAGCATTAAATGAGAATCGAACCTTCGAACGTTTCGAACTTTATGTAGAAAGAAATTCGAAATCTTCAATTTGTTCGAACTTCATGTCTATAAAACTCGAAGCGTTCGAAATTTTCGAATTTTGTTTCCAAAGAATTTCGAAATCTTCGATTTATCGAACCTGAAGTAAAAAAAGATTCGAAATATTCGAATCCGAAATTTTAGAAACCGTGAAAGCTTCGAAATTTTCTAATTCGAAACTGCACTGTGATCGAAAGTTGCGAATTTTTCGATTTCGAACCTCGGTCGGTACGAAAATATCGAGATTTTTCGAAATCGAACTTCAGTTCGCTTCGCAAATATCGAAACCTTTCGAAATCAAACTTGGGGCGGTTCGCGACATCCCTAGTCTCCTTCCGCTTGTAAATACTTGTAATTATATTTATGTGCGAAACCTTAGTTCTGGTCTCCACACTCTCGAGCGCTCGAGCGCGCGCTTGCTGGGTTGAATTGTTGTTCGGGGCGCATGGGTAACAAGCTGCGCGCATTCGGGATATCACCCCGCGGTTCGACCGGTCAGAGGCGTGCGGATTCTTCGCTTGCTGTTAACTGACAGTGGTCCTGGTTTCGAATATGCTCCTCCCATCGCTGGAGTTGAAAACGGTGTGTTGCAATCTTGGGTTGCCTTTTTAATAGAAAAATCTGCCGCGTATCTTTATGATTTCGAGATTTCTAGGATGCTTAAAGTCAGCAGAGTGAGTTATCGCCATATTTACGCGATCTCAGAAACCTCCTCAGGGCACCTTTATGGTCCATTCACACGGCCGACATGTCTCCGGGCAAGTTCCTACGAAATCGGTGGCGTCACCTTTTTTACAGTTCGAAATCCGCCATGTTCCAGGCGAGAAATGGCATGCAAAACTGAACAGCTAGTCCACTGACCACAGGAACGTATTCAGGGACGAGACCACAGACCTGATGAATGTTTTGTGTCACGTGGACAAACGTCATAAAACAGGTCCGCGGACTTGTCGTACGTACCACGGTTATCGAGATTTTAAGCCCGTTCAATTGTCGCTTTTTCCTGGACCGGTGAGGTCCGTACCCGGGTCCGCACCAGGTCCGCGAACTCGGCTACTCAAAAGGAACGAACTTCGCGCAACTGCTCGCGCGACAGCTGGACGCACAAGTCGCCTTCTTTTTTTCTACGTACCACTTTCATCGTTTGTCTAAATGACTACCCTAGTTACACGAGCGCTGTGAACTGTTAGTGAGCCAAGGACTGTTGACTCAATCGCGATCGGGCGGAGTTTCACGGTGGCGCCAACTGCCATTGAGCCGCTAACGATCATTGAGTTGAACTGAGCTGGCCTATATCTCAGTTAACTGGTGGGGGTTCACCCCAATAGAGCTAAAGAAGGCAGCATCCACCGCATTGCCGCCGATGGCCAGCGCCAGCGAAGCACTTAGTCTTGCGAAAGATTGGGGGAGGTAGCGAGAAACTATCGTAGCAGAAAATATTGTAAGAAGAGGTATGATTTGGGGACAGAGCTGAAGCTAGAACGATCACGGCACGCCGTGGAAGCCCACACTTGGCGAACGCGGCCATTGGGATGTCGGCGCCGATAATACTTTATAGTTATGTCTCTCGTGCTTAAATTTGTGTTAAACGTTTTGATTTATTGTTTCTTTACTCTAAAAATAAAAAATGAGTTTATTATGTTTTGTGTTAAACGTTTATATTGAATAACAAGAGTGAATATCTTTATTTGCATCACTTATAAAAGTGATGTGACATCAATTGTCGTTTTGTATCGGTTTCCACTAGGATAGGAAGTTTGTGTTGTGAGGCCATGTACCGTGTAAGACCTGGTAACACCGGACAACTTAGTTGAGCTCGAGGACAATCGGAGGATGCCTACAATCGTTAACTCAATGATGTAATGGGAGAATAATATTTCCACGCGAATATTTCTCCTTTTACCGTAAATTGCAACAACAACAACAACAACAAAACGGCCCGTGTAACAGGGGTATTACTTGACTGTATTTTATGGAAGAGGAAGAGAAAGCCAGCTAAGTGCAAGGCGTGTTTTTCTTCTCTTTTTTATTTAATTGTCCGAAAGGCAGCCGGGGCAGTGGCACATAACATGTCTTCCATCGACAGGGTGCTCAGGCTGCTCAGGCTGCTGGGTTACAAGCTCGAGCTGGGAGACTTCAAGGCCCGCTTTTGCGAAGACCGCCACCCATGCCAACAACAGCGCTAGCCGCTGGAGCCCCACAAGGGGCTGCCGGACTCCCTGCGTCTCCGGAAACTCGGCAGGCTCGTCTGTAAGCTGAACACGCATGGAACCCTCGCCAGGCACTCGAGACCGGACTGCTAGAAGTCAGCAGCCCATGGCGGCCAAGCAGACCACCGTCGCGAAGACCGCTCAAGACCTAAGGCTCTTCACCCTCTTCACCATCCCATTATTATCATTTTAACATCGTCATGCATCTTGTATATTATATCAGCCCATAATTACCTTTACCACTTTCTATACCTTTCTTTTTTGTGTGTCATAAGCCTCTGGTATGAACCTTCGGTATCTCTGCAACCAGCAGCTTCTCTCCGAGTTGCAAATAAATATGATCATTATCATTATTATTATGCAACGGTTGACACTAGTT